TATATTTATATATTTACGGATCGGATCGGATATCCGCTTTCCAAAATTTTAATATTTGTGATTTGCTTCGATTTTAACGGATATTGAATTTTAGTATTTGCTTTGATTCGAAAGTTTACGGATATCCGGAATTTTCGGATCGAATCGAAACGAATAACGGATCGAATCAAATATAACGGATAAAATGCCCAGCCCTAGAGTGGTACTCAGCAATTCCCGATAAAAAAAGAATTCAAAGGGGAACAGAATACTAAAGGGTTGTAAATTAGTCATCTGATCATCTGTATCTTTATACTCATTTATTGTGTGAGTTACTCCGTGTGTGTATATATACGTACATAATGCAAGAATAATTCTAAACAGTTAGAATAAGAGCAATCCAATCATCGGAGAAACAAAGAAAAAGTGACGATATGTCGGCGTCTGCCAAGAAGAAATCGTCGAACCATGTTACCGTCAAAGTCAAAAGTCAGGCACATGAACCAATTACTCTCGTACATGTTAGATGTAACAACCATTAATTAGGTTACACAGATTAAACAATTACTGAGTCTATTATGCATTAAGGTTAAAAGGAAAGATCATTTCCTTAACAAATATTAGTAGTACTATATTATTTAACCGGCTTAAAAGAATGGATCAAATGAGTATATGTTAACATTTAAAAAGTAAAATATTGTTGTAAATAAATTATAACAGGATGATATATCTGTGTACTTCCGGATTAAGAAGGACGTTGGGCTCCGTAAGATGATGGAAGCTTTTTCAGTCAAAAAAGGAGAAGATATGACTGCCTTCGCTTTTCTTTTCGATGGAGATCATATCAAACCTGATCAATCTCCCAATGATGTACGTATTATTAACATCTGATTACTATTTTTGTCTTACAATATGTTAATTACTATTTATATATACTGAAAGAAAAGAAAAAGAGTTAGCAGCTTGAGCTTGAAGACGGAGATGAAATTCAGGCGTTCCTCCATCAATTAGCTGGAGTGCTCAGCTTCTGTTCGCCATCAGCACCCCTATCTTAGTTATTAGTCATGGGTTATATTAGTATTCATTGGTACGGTTCACACCATATTTATATTATGATATTTATTTAATGATTTTCACCTATTCTTCAATATAAAAGTTGGTTATGAACTTATGATCAACGATTCAACGTTAACAACTTATCAATGATGGAGCAGTTTATGGATTAATGTGATTTTTTCTATGGATTTCATACGAAGGACAGGTGGACATATATTTTTTTTTAGTTAAATGTGATATAGATACACAAGTACAGGAACAAATCGTTGTCAATATGATCATCCTTGAAGACCTTGGCCCCAATTCTGACTAGTCAATACATTACAAAATGTAGATATATTTTTTTAGCCTTACATGTCGTCTACCTAGAGATGTCAATTGGGCAGCTTGTTAATGGGCTGCCCGTGTCCATATTGTTATGGTTTTAAATGGACATACCCATATAAAACCATAGTTAAATTTTGTCCAGATGGACTAGCCCAATTACATTATGGACAAAATTGGACTTAACAAATTGGACAATGGGCGGCCCAAAAACTAAAATGTCTAGGGTTTGGGAAATTGGGGAAAAACAGAAATCACTTTTTTTTTCTTCGCCGTTTCTCTCTGGCGATTTGTCTCCTTCGATTTGTCTCCTTCGATTTGTCTCCTTTGATTCTGCTTCTTCTTGTTCTTCGATTCTTCTCACTCGTCTTTGATTTTCGTCGATTCTCCTTCCTCGTCTTCATCTTCTTCTGATTTCGTCATCATGAAGGTGTGATTTCTTCATCTTCGAATTTCTTATTGAGCGATTTGTGTTATGGGTTTTCACTATTTATGATTTCTTCATCTTCTAACTGTTTATGTATGGTTTATGTTATGTGTTAGATGGATCGGTGATTTTCCGTATAAGATTCGTATCAACTTGGCAACTGTTCTGTTTCTCGCATCAATAAGGTATGAGATCGTCTGTGATTTGTGAATCAATCAATAACTTTGATTTTTAGAGTGACCCATTTCTAAACGATGATCTTACCCATTTAGGATAGCAAGCACCTCTAACCTGAAATGAATCCTCGTTGTGGTGCAGTAGAGAGTGTCTCTGAACGTATATGAGTAAAGAACTGTGCAGTGTCTTTGGTCCTGGTGTCTTGAGTCAAATGTCCATAGATACAAGTTCTCGTGATACATAACTGATGTTCTCTAAGAATCATTTTATGATTCATGTCTTATGTAATTGTTAGTTTCTGGATGTTTGGTCTGAGATTGAAAAGTGTTAGTTCTCGCATTAAAAAAGGTTGAAACTTTTAAAGAGTTTTCTAGATTGTGTGCTATGTTTCCTCTGTTGCATGTGAGAGACGGTCTTTAACTTAGACGAGCTAGTTGATTCGCTATAATGGCAGTATATGACACTATCAAATGCAAGTTGTGAATTTTATGTTTCATTATCATTTTATATATGTACTACTTTCACAATGTAGAGATGTTGAAACAGTGAGAATATTATTTCTTTATTTCTTTTGATGTTCTCTTTTGTTCTCTTTTGTTCTCTCTTTTGTTCAATAATATACTTCAGTCTTAGCATACTGATGTTCTCTTTTGTTCTCTGTTTTGTAGATGGATGCAGATACTTTAAACCTAAACGATGATGACTATTTGAGTGTTGAAGACATGATGGCTGAGAATGAAAATGAGCAGAATGCACAAGCTGATCAGAATGCACAAACTGATTCCGTAACGAGTGTTGCTCAGACTAGAGGTAAACGTAGGCACTCGAAATGCTGGAAGAATTTTAGTATTGTTGGAGATAGGCTGCCTGATGGGACTTATAATGTTAAGTGCAATTATTGCAGTCATCCCTACAACTTAGATATAAGTAGAAATGGAACTAATACTATGTTACGTCATTCACAACGGTGTTCAAAGACTCCTGGATCTACACCTGGTAGTAATAGGAAGCTAGATATGACTGTTTTCCGTGAAATGATTGCTGCTGCTATAGTAGAGCATAATCTCCCCTATGCATTTGTCGAATATAGAAGGGTGAGAGATGCTCTTGCTTATGCGAACTCAAGTATTGAATTTTGGAGTAGGAACACTGCTGTATCTGATGTGTTTAAGATTTTTGAGAAGGAGAAAGCCCATCTTATGAAGGTGTTGAGTGAAGTTCCTGGTAGGATCAGCTTTACTACTGATCTTTGGAGAGCAATCACGATAGAGGGTTACTTGTGTCTCACAGCTCACTATCTTGACACTAACGAGAAGCTACAAGCGAAGATAGTATCATTTTGTGCGTTTCCTCCTCCTCACACTGGCGCAAGCATTGCAAGGAAGTTAATGGAGATATTGAAGGAGTGGGGCTTAGATAAGAAGGTGTTTACTGTAACGGTGGACAATGCTACTTCAAATGATAATATGCAGGGGTTTCTAAAAAGGCAGCTTCGCAGAGATTTGGTATGTGATGGTGAATTTTTGCATATAAGATGTGTGGCACACATCTTGAACCTGATTGTTCAAGATGGATTGTCAGTGATCGGTAAAGCTTTAGAAAAAATTAGAGACAGTGTGAAGTTTGTAAAAAGTTCAGAGACTAGGGAAAATATGTTTGAAGCTTGTGTGGAAACTGTTGGGATTGATAATGAGAACAAAGCTGGTCTTATTTTGGATATGACCACGAGGTGGAACTCGACCTTCTCGATGTTGTCTAGAGCAATTAAGTTTAAAGATGCATTACGTAATCTCTCTGAAGTTGAGCCAAGCTACAAGTGTTGTCCTTCAGATTTGGAATGGTCAAGAGGAGCTCTCATCAAAGATTTTTTGACTCCTTTTGCTGAGATGACAAAACTGGTTTCAGGCTCTAAGTACCCTACTGCAAACTTATACTTTATGCAAGTCTGGAAAATAGAGAGTTGGTTGAGAGAGCATGCGACTTCAAATGATGAGGCAATACGTGAAATGGTGAAGATTATGAGGCTAAAATTCGATAAATACTGGGATGACTACAGTGATATACTTGCAATTGCTGCAGTCTTGGATCCAAGGTTGAAGTTGAAGTGCTTAGAGTACTGTTATACCACTCTAAACCCGTCAACAAGCAAGGTTAAAATGGATCACATCCGTAAGAAGATGGAAAAGCTGTTTAAAGTGTATAAGAGGAATACTAAGGCCACTACTACAACCACTTCAGAAACAACAAGGGAGAACAGTCTACCAAGCGGATATGGTGTAAGTTGTCAATTAATAGTCATTTGTTTTACTCACTGGTTTGCTATTAATCACTTTTTTAATGTTTATAATGCAGGGGTTTTATGCATTCATTACTCAAAATGCAGGAGAAGGGAAATCAGCTTTAGATGTCTACTTGGCTGAACCAGCCATGGATATGTTTGCCTTTCCGAAACTAGATGTTTTAAAATACTGGCGAAACAATAGTTCCCGGTTTAAAGAGTTGTCTCGTATGGCGTTTGATGTGCTTTGTATTCCCATTACAACTGTATCTTCAGAGTCTTCTTTTAGTGCTGGAAGCCGGGTCCTTACCAGGTACAGGAGCAGGCTACTACCATCCAATGTACAAGCTCTCATCTGTACAAGAAACTGGCTACGCGGGTTCGAACCAATGAGTAAGTCCTCTTTGCTTGTTTCTGTCATTAGTATCAGTACTATACTACTATATAGGCATTTAGTTTGTAAGAGGAATATGACGAGGGTTAAGGATAGAGGTGTTTATCAGAGGAACACTGCCTTGGAACATATTGAGTTGCATAAGCTTGATGGGATTGTTTACTTTGCTGATGATGATAATGTCTATGAGCTTGAGTTGTTTCAGAGGTTGAGAGAGATTAGGTGAGTTGATAATGTCTATGAGCTTTAGTTTTGTGCTTGTTGTCTTCACTTTGTGCTTGTTGCTTGTAGTCATAGTGATCCTAGACTCCTAGTACTGTTGGTGCTGTGTTTCGACACTCAAATATAATTACTTTTACTTCTGTATCATGCGCATGTTACTCTGATGTTGGAACTGATGAATAGATGAAGTTTTAGACCATTTGTGTAGGCGATTTGGAAGTTTCTTTGCTCTGTTGATAACGCTTTGCTCTGTAGACAGTTTCTTTGAAACTGAGAACAAGACCAGATATGATATATGAAACATATGTACTTTGTGTTTGTTTGTTTGTTTTAAAACGGGATTTCAGGTATTTGACCACCACGGCACATAAACTTAGACAATATAATTAATAGTTATTGTGTTTGTGACATGTTTGTGTTTACCTCTTGAGAATTTGTTTCAGACCAAAGTCTTTTATTGATATGTTAGGTGATGATGAAGAGGAAGAGAATGAAGAAGAAAAAGAAGAAGAAGAAGAAGAAGAAGAAGAAGAAGAAGAACAAGAACAAGAACAACAACAAGAACAAGGTGGTGGAAGAAAGAAAAAGAACAAGAAAGTGTTGACCAAGTGAAAATGAAGAGGGTGGTGAATTTGTTTGAATTTGTTTCTATTATGTGAACTTGTGTTTATGTGTTTGAACTTGTCTTCAATGTTGTGAACTTGTGCATTTTTATAACTTTAAAACATGAAGTTTAAATTTATGGCATTTTTAAAGTTGAAAGCTTAAGAATTTTATAAAAAAAAATTTGTTAAATTTATAAACTTATAAACACACCAAATAAGAATCTTATAAACTTATAAAACACATAAACATATAAACTTATGCATAAACTTATAAACATAAAATTATGTTGTTTACATTAAGTGGAAGAGGCCCATGGACAACCCAACAAATCATGGTCTTATTTGGTTATGGTCTCATTTGGACATGGTCCTATCTGGGCTTAGACCAAATATGTCCAGAAAAAAATGAAGCCCATATGGACAAACCCAAACCCGCCCAACCCGCCCATTTGACACTACTACGTCTACCTCACGTGCCAAACTAGTCTTAGTTGCCCATCAAGCTCCACGCAATTTCTCCTTTTCCTC